CCAAAGATATACACAAACTAAAAGTCAAGGGATGGAAAAAGATATTCCAGGAAAACAGTAGGGAGAAAGGAGCAGGTGTTGCAGTACTAGTATCAGACATAATAGATATCAAAACAAAGAAAGTAACAAGAGATAAAGAAGGACATTACATAATGATAAAGGGGTCAGTCCAACAAGAGGATATAACCATTATAAATATATATGCACCCAACACAGGAGCACCAACATATGTGAAAGAAACACTAAATTCAAAAAGGCTGAAATTCTACCAACCAACTTCTCAGACCACAAAGGTATAAAACTAGAAACAAATTGTATAAAGAAAGCAAAAAGGCTCACAAACACATGGAGGCTTAACAACATGCTCCTAAATAATCAATGGATCAATGACCAAATCAAAATAGAGATCAAGCAATATATGGGGACAAATGACAACAACAGTACAAAGCTCCAACTTCTGTGGGATGTGGCAAACGCAGTTCTAAGCGGAAAGTATACAGCCATCCAGGCCTATTTACAGAAGGAAGAGCAATCCCAAATGAATAGTCTAACATCATTATTATTGAAACTGGAAAAAGAATAAATGGAGCCCAAAGTCAGCAGAAGGAGGGAAATAATAAAGATTAGAGAAGAAATAAATAAAATTGAGAAGAATAAAACAATAGAAAAAATCAATGAAACCAAGAGCTGGTTCTTTGAGAAAATAAACAAAATAGATAACCCCCTAGCCAGACTTATTAAGAGAAAAAGAGAATCTACACACATCAACAGAATCAGAAATGAGAAAGGAAAAATCATGATGGACTCCACAGAAATACAAATAATTATTAGAGTATACTATGAAAATCTATATGCTAATAAGCTGGAAAACCTAGAAGAAATGGACAACTTCCTAGAAAAATACAACCTTACAAGACTGACCAAGGAAGAAACAGAAATCTAAACAGACCAGTTACCAGCAATGGAATTGAATCAGTAATCACAAAACTACCCAAGAACAAAACCCCTGGGCTAAATGGATTCAGCACTGAATTTTATCAGACATATATAGAAGACATAATACACTTTTTCCTTAAAGTTTTCCAAAAAGCAGAAGAGGAGGGAATACTTCAAAACTCTTTCTATGAAGCAGGCATCACCCAATTACCAAAACCAGGCGAAGATACCACAAAAAAGAAAACTACAGACCAATATCCCTGATGAACATAGATGCAAAAATACTCAACAAAATATTAGCAAACCCAATTCAAAAGTACATCAAGAGGATCATACACCATGACCAAGTAGGATTCATCTTAAGGATGCAAGCATGGTACAACATTTGAAAATATGTCAACATCATCCACAACATCAACAAAAAGAAGCACAAAAACCACATAATCATCTCCATAGATGATGAATAAGCATTCGACAAAATTCAACATCTACTCATGATAAAAACTCTCAACAAAATGGATATAGATTGCAAGTACCTCAACATAATAAAGCCTATATATGACAAACCCACAGCCAACATCATACTGAACAGCGAGAAGCTGAAAGCTTTTCCTCTGCGATCGGGAACAAGACAGGGATGCCCACTCTCCCCACTGTTAATCAACCTAGTAGTAGAGGTCATAGCAACGGCAATCAGACAACACAAAGAAATAAAAGGCTTTCAGATAGGTAATGAAGAAGTCAAATGGTCACTGTTTGCAGATGACATGATATTGTACATAAAAAACCCTAAAGACTTCACTCCAAAACTACTAGAACTAATATCGGAATTCAGCAAAGTTGCAGGATACAAAATTAACACACAGAAATTTGTTGCTTTCCTATACACTAACAATGAACTAGCAGAAAGAGAAATCAGTAAAACAATTCCATTCACAATAGCCTCAAAAGAATAAAATACCTAGGAATAAACCTAACCATTGAAGTGAAAGACCTATACCCTGAAAACTACAAGACATTCTTAAGAGAAATTAAAAAGGACACTAACAAATGGAAACTAATCCCATGTTCTTGGTAGGAAGAATCAATATCATCAAAATGGCCATTCTGCCTAAAGCAATATACAGATTTGATGCAATTCCTATCAAAATACCAACAGCATTCTTCAACGAACTGGAACAAATAGTTCTAAAATTCATATGGAACCACCAAAGACCCCGAATAGCCAAAGCAATCCTGAGAAGAAAGAATAAAGTAGGAGGGATCTCACTCCCCAACTTCAAGCTCTACTACAAATCCACAGTATTTAAGACAATTTGGTACTGTCACAAGAACAGAGCCACAGACTAGTGTAACAGGATAGAGTCCAGATATCAACCCAAACATATATGGTCAATTAATACATGATAAAGGAGCCATGGACATACAATGGGGAAATGACAGCCTCTTCAACAGCTGGTGTTGGCAAAACTGGACAGTTACATGTAAGGGAATGAAACTGGATCATTGCCTAACCCCATACACAAAAGTGAATTCAAAATGGATCAAAGACCTGAATGTAAGTCATGAAACCATAAAACTCTTAGAAAAAAACAGGCAAAAATCTCTTGGACATAAACATGAGTGACTTCTTCATAAATATATCTCCCCAGGCAAGGGAAACAAAAGCAAAAATGAACAAGTGGGACTATATCAAGCTGAAAGGACACCACCAATAGAACAAAAAGGCATCCTAAAGTATGGGAGAATATTTTCATAAATGACAGATCCGATAAAGGGTTGATATCCAAAATATATAAAGAGCTCACGCACCTCAACAAACAAAAAGCAAATAATCCAATTAAAAATGGGCAGAGGAGCTGAACAGACACTTCTCCAAAGAAATCCAGAAGGCCAACAGACACATGAAAAGTTGCTCCACATCTCTTGTCATCAGAGAAATACAAATTAAAACCACAATAAGATATCACCTCACACCAGTAAGGATCGCCACCATCCAAAAGACAAACAACAACAAATGTTGGCGAGATTGTGAAGAAAGGGAAACCCTCCTACACTGCTGGTGGGAATGTAAATTAGTTCAACCTTCGTGGAAAGCAGTATGGAGGTTCCTCAAAAAGGTCAAAATAGAAATACTATTTGACCCAGAAATTCCACTTCAAGGAATTTACCCTAAGAATACAGCAGCCCAGTTTGAAAAAGACAGATGCATCCCTATGTTTATTGCAGCACTATTTACAATAGCCAAGAAATGGAAGCAACCTAAGTGTCCATTAGTAGATGAATGGATAAAGAAGATGGGGTACATATATACAATGGAATATTATTCAGCCATAAGAAGAAAATAAATCCTACCATTTGCAACAGCATGGTTGGAGCTAGAGGGTATTATGCTCAGTGAAATAAGCCAGGCAGTGAAAGACAAGTACCAAATGATGTCACTCATCTGTGGAGTATAAGAACAAAGAAAAAGCTGAAGTAACAAAACAGCAGCAGAAACACAGAACTGAAGAATGGACTAACAGTTACCAAGGGGAAAGGGACTGTGGTGATTGGGTGGGAAGGGAGGGTTAAGGGGGTGGTATAGAAGGGGGGCATTACAATTAACATGTATACTGTGGGGGTGTGGCACTGGGAGGGCTGTTCAACACAGAGAAGACAAGTAGTAATTCTACAGCATCTTACTATGCTGATGGACAGTGACTGTAATGGGGTTTGTAGGGGGGACTTGGTGATGGAGGGAGTCTAGTAAACAATGTTCCTTGTGTGATTGTAGATTAATGATACCAAAAAAAAAAGACTTTACATTTAAGAGGTGAAAAAAAATGTTTTAAGTGGACAGCAGCAGACTCACAAACTCCAAGAAAGGACTAATGGTTACCAAATGGGAGGGATAGGGGAGGGCAGGTGGGGAGGGAGGTAGAAGGGGATTGAGAGGTATTATGATTAGTGCACATGGTGTAGGGTGGACCATGGGGAAGACAGTGTAGCACAAAGAAGACAAGCAGGGACTCTGTGGCATCTTACTATACTGATGGACAGTGACTGCAATGGGACATGGGGGGGATACTCGATAATATGGATGAGTGTAGTAAACACATTGTATTTCATGTGAAACCTTCATAAGAGTGTGTATCAATAATACCTTAATAAAAAAATTTAATAAAAACTGTTTTAAGTGCAGATCACAAGTAAGTCACTACATATTCAGTCTGGAGTTTGGGGAAAAGGTCTTCCCTGGAGACACAGGTTTGAGAATCTGAAGCATAGTATTTAAAGGTACATGAAATTTACTACAATTGACTTTCTAGGTAGAAAAGAGAAAGAGGACCTGCACTGAATCACGGGACACATCTACCTAAATTTCTGGGTCATCTCGACACTCCCTCTACTGTTTTTTTATTCCATATTTCACATCCTGATATGTAATTATGTTTTCCTGTTTGTAATCTATTTCTTAACACTTTGAGTCTGGTCTAGCTATCTACTTCACCTCACCATAGATGTATGCTGAAATAGCATTTTATGCTATTGCTGCTAATCTAAAACCTTGATTTTAGAGTTGGACAGTCTTGTGTTAACAACTTTGTCTTGAACATTACTATCTGACTTTGGGCATTTTATTTAATGTTCTCAAGTGTAAAAAGGTGATTATATGTGTCTGACAAGTTTCTTATTAAAGAAATAAATAAAATCATGTATGAAGTCCTTGGCATAGAACTGGCACAAAATAAGGTCTTAATACAAGGAACAATATTGTTAATATTATTTTGTTGTTAACCACTGATGTATGGTGTCCAGTCATTTTTTACCACTCTGCAATACAGGAAAGAGCCACTGTAAAATGACTGAAAGATGAAGGTTGGAAGTATTAGCCAACAGCAAGGGCTGAATTAGTTAGACAGAGCATAAGACAGATGGAGTAGGTTGAACCAGTGAGCCAAAGGCAGTTAAGAAGTCTGGACATTTAGAATTCAACAATATACTTTACTGTATGACCAAGGAGTCTAAGTAATGAAGTGAAATACTATAACTATGATATCATTTCTTAGTATTTAACTCACCTAAGTTCAGCTGTGAGATCCTTTATAGTACTGTATTTTTCCTCTAATGATAAATGAGCCTTCTGTAATACATCTCTCAATTCCTGGAGTTGTCTTAAAGTACTTTTTAATTCTCCATGAGCGTTTTGTAGTTCAGACTCCACTGCTTCCCGTTTTTGCAAGGCTTCTGTTAGTTCAGTGTCAGTGTGGTGCTGTAACTTTTCTAACTCCTTCACTGTTAAGGAGAAAATAATTTTAGAACTATACATAAACCACTTGTTATTAAGAAATTTGTAAATAATTATAATTAAGAATATACAATTTTATTCATCTACATGAGGCAAAATACTAACCACTAATTTTTCCTTCCATCCCTATCATCCCAAATTCTCTTTATTCCACTTTTTAAAATATAAATATGCAGGCAGCTAAGCTCAGCTACCTGTTGCTTACCAGCATTTGTTTTCTTATCAAGTTCTGTCTTTGTCTGTTCTAAGACCATGTCTAACTGAGAGAGATGCATTGCTTTATTTTCTCCGTCTCGTTTTAGGTGCATTATTTCTTTTTCCATTTTAGATAGCTCTTCTTTGTACTGATCCATCTCAAGTTTTACTTGCCTAATTAAAAACAAAATAAAAAAAATGATAATTTGGACACTTAAATACTGACTGACTTGTGTCTGACTAAACAAAGTCTGCAAGTTATGTAAGGACAAATATCAACATGTCAAGTCATATTTGGCAAGGCTAGCATTCTTTTCAATCTAACAGTTCACTTTTACATGCTTCGTTTGTATGGAAAAAATCCATAGATAGGTGCCTCATTCATCTGTAATTTCTACTATCAGAAAATTATATATTATACAATAGAAAATAAAGAAGACAAGTAATCAAATATTCATCATAATAACCATACTACCCATAAGAGAACCAAGTCAGTAATTTTTACTCAGACTTTTATTATTATTATTATTTTTTAGCAAATGTGTATCACATTGGTTCAACAGTCCCCCTCCCCCTGCCCCACCTACTCTCCTCCCCCTTGGTAATCACTCCTCAGACTTTTATTATTAATGTTATCTTTTTTAACTTTAAAAGGGACTAGAGATTCCCATACTAGTACAACTTCCTTGCTTTATAGATGTGGAAACTGGAAGGTTAGGTGAATTGTCTGGAATAACACAGGTTTATTTAATCTTAAGTCTTAACTTATAACAAGTTTATGACCTTTAACATTTCTAAAATTTCAGGTAAATGATTTTCAGCTTCACTAATTCAGCTTAACTAATATGGAAGCACTTCTACTTAGACAAAACAACATAGTGACGGGTAATTTTAAGTCCACTTTTTCATAATTCCAAAGTGATATTCACTAATTAAACAATTGCTAATATCATCCTCAATGGTATGGAGAACTGATACTCCCTTATCTTGTTGACACTGTTGTTCTTTTGGTCTTGACATCTTGCAATTGAGCTGCAAGTAGGAACACTTCTTTTCTGAATTCAATTTAAACAAATTTAGATTTCTTCAAGAGGTTTTTAATCTGATGCCTATGAGCAACATGAGGAAAGCTATAAAACATCTAAAACAACATGCAAAATTATGTATACATATGTACATCCACATACAGAAAATACACCATAGAAGCTATACACCATAGAAAAATACACCATAGCTTCTATCATATCTTCAGATATGTCCATGGCCCAAAAAGTTAACAAGTTTATGACCTTTAACATTTCTAAAACTTCAGGTAAATGATTTTCAGCTTAACTAATTCATTTCTTATATTAGAACAGACATAAAGCATAATTAGAAAAGAATAATCAAAAAAGATTGGCATACGTTACCAAGAGGTGACAGCCTATCAACAGAGGACTTAGAGAAAAGTTTTTTGTTTTAAGTTTCAGTACTTGGTAGAGATAAATTACACTCATTTATTTATTTATGAGCAACTACTCATTCTTTCCTGATGCAAGGTAAATGAGGCATTACTATAATAAATATAGTTTAAATATTTTAACTATTATATAAATAATCTAATACTAAAAATTTTCTAATAACTTTCAAAATTTTATGGCAGGCTTTAATCCCACCAGTTTTCCAGAAATACTTCACCTTTTTGTTACAGAGTTATTGAGTGAAATCAAGTCTGAGATTGGAAACAGGCCAAAGGAAGGATTATGTAAAAGTTATATGAGACCATGGCAGCTACATGCTCTGGCTTCTTCAAATGCAAAAAAAAAAAGATTTTCAAGTGGCTATGGAGGCAGTCTGAGAAATCTAACAAGTGCTGTTTCAACCTCAGCACTGAGAAATCCAGCTCAGAATCACTCAAATGCAGCAAAATTTACATGTAGTACCAGAAGAACCTTTTAATAGTTATGGAACAGAAACAAAGTAGGTTTTGGAGCACACCTAAACTGTGCATCTCATTTACTAACTTCTTTGAGTTTCAGCTTCCTTATTTTAAAAACAGTGATAAAAAATCCATATTCAGGGTGGTTTTGAAGACAGAGTTAATGTGTCTACCTAGCACACTGCCTGACATACAGAAAGTGCTCAATGAATTAGTTTCCTTTCTTTCTATCAGAAGATATTTTAATTTTAAAGAACTATGATGATTGTTGTGGAAGGACTCTAAATAGACCAGAAATTATCTCAGCATCAAGGAACCCACAAATCAGGAGGAGAGTTAAGGATATTAAGCTAAAATACAAAAATGCATAATGAGAGATATGAGGGAGGTACAAACAAAATGTTACAGGAACACAGATTGTGTAGAAATTAATTCCTTAAGCAAATGCTTCATTGAACATTACTGGATATTGAAACCCAGATACTACTGATATTGAAAGGGGAAGACAAATAAAAACTAACATACTCATTTTACCTGGCAGTACCAGTAAGCTCAATGACTTTTTGCCTCTTCAAATCTGCTTCATGTGTGGCTGCTTCACATTTCTCATCCATTTTTCTCAATGTTTCAGCTGAACTTTCCCTTTGTTTTTGAAGCTCTTGTTCCAGTTTTGATACCTTATAAAATACTTTTCAATTAAGTATTTTTAATTCATTCACAAGTCAACATTCTTCATAAGGAAAATATTTATATGACTATACAGATAGTCTAGCCTATTACTCAGTTTCAAGATATCTTAGGATAATCAAAGTATGGACCAGAAAGTAATCTTTTGGAAATATAATATCAAAACTTAATATTTAATAATAAAAATATTTCATTCCTATACATTTGTAGAAGCAGCCACATAACACTAAAATAGTTCTTAAAAGAACTGAACGAAATGGTAAATGTTCCCTTTTCACTCTCTCCATTTGAACTGTTCTTCTTTTGTAAAACTATATTCCTTTCTATCTTCACAAACTGTGAAGGATTCTTAGATTCCCATTTGACCTCAAACACTACAGTTTTCATTTGCTCCCAAAGTAACTTGCATTTACTCCTATTCATTCTTCCTTCTGTTCTATCTACTGCAGTAAAAGAGGTATTCATCCTCCTATGTAGGTCAAATTGCTTCATAGATGTTCTGGATCCAGTTCCTTTTCCCTTTACCAGGAACTCATATTAATTACTGTTTCTTGTATTGTCCATCTCTCTTTCTTCTGGTTTCTTTATATTAGCATGCAAATGTGTTTGAGGCCTTCGCACTGTAAAAACTGTTCTTTCATACCTCCATCTCCCTCCAACTACCAAAACCTTTGCTCCTCTTCATAGCCCAGCCTCAGAGAGGTTTCTATGCTTTTGTATCATTTTCTCACTTCTCACTCTTCAACTCATAGCAATCTGGCTATTCCACAAAAGTGTGCTGTCATCACTGACCTCCATGTTCTGATTTCCATGGACAAAATGAGAAGACACAGGAGTATGCTTGAAAGAAAGAACATGATAAAACTTCAAAAAAAAAACAACCTAAATGAAACGGAGTTAAGCAATCTAACCAACACCGAGCTTAAACTAATGGTTATAAAGATGCTCATTAGACATGAGAGAAGAGTGGATATACTCAGTGAGAACCTCAACAAAGAGATGGAAAATATAAAAACAAAAGAGAGATGAAAAATAAACAAAATGAAATAAATACTAGAGGAAACCAACAGCAGATCACAGGATGCAAAATAAAGGATGAGCAATTTGGAAGACAGAGTAATGGCATGCACTCAAGCTGACCATCAGAAAGGAAAAAGAATAAAAAGAAATGCGGGTAGGTTAAGAGACCTCTGGGACAACACCAAACATTCTAACACTGACATTTTATGAGACGAGAAAGAGAAGAGAGGCAGGGGAGTGGAGTGCACATTTATTTGAAGAAACAGCTGAAACTCCTCTAACCTGGGGAAGGAAACCATCCAGGCCCAAGAAGCAGAGAGCCCCAAGTAAGATGAACCCAAGGATGTCTATACTAAGAAATGTAATTAAAATGTCAAAGATCCAAAACAAAGAGAATCTTAAAAACAGCAAGAAAAAAAAGCCTCAGCAAATTAAAAAAGACTGAAATTGTACTAACCAACTTCTCAGATTACAAATGTGTGAAAATAGAAACTGTACAAAGAAAACAAAAAGGCTCACAAACACATGGAAGCTTAACAACATGCTCCTAAATAATCAATGGATCAATGACCAAATTAAAACAGAAATCAAGCAATATATGGAGACAAATGAAAACAACAGCACAATGCCCCAACTTCTGGTGGACGCAGCAAAGGCAGTTCTAAGATGAAAGTATACTGCAATCCAAGCGCATTTAAAGAAGGAAGAACAATCCCAAATGAACAGTCTAAATTCACAATTACTGAAACTGGAAAAAGAAGAATGAGGCCCAAAGTTAGTAGAAGGAGGGACATAATAAAGATAAGAGAAGAAATAAATACAATTGAAAAGAATAAAACAATAGAAAAAAATCAATGAAATCAAGAGCTGGTTCTCTGAGAAAATAAACAAAATAAATAAACCCCTAGCCAGACTTTCCAAGAAAAACATAGAACCTACACACATCAACAGAATCAAAAATGAGAAAGGAAAAATCACTACGAACATCACAGAAATACAAAGAATTATTAGAGAATTTAAAAAAATTATATGCTAACAAACTGGATACCTAGAAGAAATGGACAACTTGCTAGAAAAATACGACCTTCCAAGACTGACCAAGGAAGAAACAGGAAATCTGAATAGACCAATTACCAGCAAAGAAATTGAACCAGTAATAAAAAAACTACCCAAGAACAAAACCCCTGGACCAGATGGATTCACCACCGAACTTTATCAGATATTTAGAGAGGACATAATACCCATTCTCCTTAAAGTTTTCCAAAAAACAGAAGAGGAGAGAATACTTCAAAACTCATTCTGAGGCCAGCATCACTATAATACCAAAACGAAGCAAAGACACCACAAAAAAAGAAAACTACAGCCCATATACCTGATGAACATAGATGCAAAAATACTCAACAAAATATTAGCAAACCAAATTCAAAAATCCATCAAGAGGATCATACACCAAGTGGGATTCATCCCAGGGATGCAAGGATGGTACAACATTCGAAAATTCATTAACATCATTCACCTCACCAACAAAAAGAAGGACAAAAACCACATGATTATCTCCATAGATGCTGAAAAAGCATTTGACAAAATTCAACACATTCATGATAAAAACTCTCAACAAAATGGGTATAGAGGCCAAGTACCTCAACATAATAAAGGCCATATATGACAAACCCACAGCCAACATCATACTTAACAGCAAGAAGCTGAAAGTTTTTCCTTTAAGATCAGAAACAAGACAAGGATGCCCACTCTCACCACTTTTATTAAATGTAGTTCTGGAGGTCCTAGCCACGGCAATCAGACAACATAAAGAAATACAAGGCATTCAGACTGGTAATGAAGAAGTCAAACTGTCCCTGTTTGCAAATGACATGATATTGTACATAAAAAATCCTAAAGAATTCACTCCAAAATGACTAGAACTAATATCTGAAGTCAGCAAAGCTGCAGGATACAAAACTAATACACAGAAATCTGTTGCATTCCTATACACTAATGATGAACCAGCAGAAAGAGAAATCAGTAGTACAATTCCATTTACAATTGCATCAAAAAGAATAAAATACTTAGGAATAAACCTAACCAACGAAGTGAAAGACCTATACCCTGAAAACTACAAGACACTCTTAAGAGAAATTAAAGAGGATACTAGTAAATGGAAATTTATGCCATGCCCTTGGGTAGGAAGAATTAATATTCTCAAAATGCCCATCCTATCCAAAGCAATCTACATATTCAATGCAATCCCTATCAAAATAACAACAGCATTCTTCAATGAACAGGAACAAATAGTTCTAAAATTCATATGGAACTACAAAAAACCCCTAACAGCCAAGGCAATGCTGAGAAGGAAGAATAAAGCAGGGGGTATTATGGTCCCTAACTTCAAGTTCCACTACAAAGCCACAGTAATCAAGACAATTTGGTACTGGCACAAGAACAGACCCATAGACCAATGGAACAGACTTGAGAGTCCAGATACTAACCCACAAATATTTGGTCAACTAATATATGATTAAGGAGCCATGGATATACAGTGGGGAAATGACAGCCTCTTCAAAAACTGTTGTTGGCAAAACTGGACAGCTACACGTAAGAGAATGAAACTGGACAACTGTCTAACTCCATACACAATAGTAAACACGAAATGGATCAAAGACCTGAATGTAAGTCATGAAACCATAAAACTCTTAGAAGAAAACATACACAAAATTCTCTTGAATATAAACACAAGCAACTTTTTCATGAACATATCTCCTAAGGCAAGGGACACAAAAGCAAAAATGAATAAGTGGGGACTATGTAAAATTAAAAAGCTTCTGGATAGCAAAGGACACCATCAGTAGAACAAAAAGACATCCTACAGTATGGGAGAATATATTCATAAATGACATATCTGATAAGGAGTTGACATGCAAAATATATAATCAGCTCATGCTCCTCAACAATCAAAAAGCAAATAACCCAATTAAAAAATGGGTGCAGGATCTGAACAGACACTTCTCCAAAGAAGAAATTCAGATGACCAACAGATACATGAAAAGATGCTCCACATCGCTAACCATCAGAGAAATGCAAATTAAAACCACAATGAGATATCACGTCACACCAGTTAGGATGGCCAACATCAAAAAGACAAACAACAAATGCTGGCGATGATGCAGAGAAAGGGGAACCCTTCTACACTGCTGGTGGGAATATAAATTAGTTCAACTATTGTGGAAAGCAGTACAGAGGTTCCTCACAAAACTAAAAATAGAAATACTATTTGACCCAGGAATCCACTCTTAGTAATTTACCCTAAGAATGCAGCAGCCCAGTTTGAAAAAGACATATGCACCCCTATGTTTAATGCAGCACTATTTACAATAGCCAAGAAATAGAAGCATCCTAAGTGTCCATCTGTAAATGCACAGATAAAGCAGATGTGGTACATATGCACAATAGAATATTATTCAGCCATAAGAAGAAAACAAATCCTAAAATTTGCAACAACATGGATGGAGCTAGAGGGTATTATGCTCAGTGAAATAAGTTAGGTGGAGAAAGAGAAGTACCAAATGATTTCACTTACCTGTGGAGTTTAAGAACCAAGAAAAAACTAACAGTTACCAAAGGGCAAGGGACTGGGGAGTGTGGCTGGGGAGGGAGGGATAAGGGGTTAATCATAAATATATGATTAGCACATAATGTAGTGTGGACATGGGGAAGGAAGTATAGCACAGAGAAGAGAAGTAGTGACTCTATAGTATCTTACTATGCTGATGGATAGTGATTGTAATGGCGTATGTGGTGGGGACTTGATAATGGGGGCAATCTAGTAACCACAATGTTGCTCACGTGATTGTATATCAATGATACCTTAATAAAAAAGAACAGCAAAAAAAAAAAAAAAACAGTAAGAGAAAAGCAATGGGTTACCTGTAAGGGAAACCCCATAAATCTATCAGCTGACTTTCTGGCAGAAACTCTACAGGCCAGAAAGGAGTGGCATGAAATATTGCAAGTGCTAAAAGAAAAAATATTCAATGAAGACTACCCAGCAAGGTGATCATTCAGAATTGAAGGAGAGATAAAGAATTTCTCAGAAAAATACAGGTTAAAGGAGTTCACCACCATTAAAGCAGTTTTATAAGATATGTTAGAGGGTCTTCATTAAGACGAGAAGAAAAAACTGTAACTAGAAGCAAGAAAATTGTGAAAAGAAAACGTTTTCACTGGTAAAAGCAAACATACAGCAAGGTAGATCAGTCACCTAAAAGTTCCTATTAGTATTTAAGTTAAAAGGATAAAAGACATAGTAAAACCAACTACTTCTAAAAATTAGTTAAGGCAATCATTAAATAAAAAGGTATAAAAGAAGACATATACATAAAATATGGCAGGTAGGGAGTTACAGTGTAGTTCTGTTAGAATGTGCTTAAACTTAACCATTAACATACACTACTGTACATGTGAGATGTTACACATAAACTACATGGTAACCACAATGAAAATTCTAATATACACAAAATATAAACAGAAAGAAATCCAACAATAACACTAAAGAACGTCATCACAGACGAGGGAAGAGAGCAAGAGATGAAGAAAAGATCAGAAAAGAATGACAAAATCAGAAAACATTCAACAAAATGGCAGTGAATACATACCTCTCAATAATTACTTTAAATGTAAATGAACTAAATGCAACAAGAAGATGTAAGGTGACTGGACAAAAAAAACAAAACCCATCTATAGGCTGCCTATCAGAAAATCACTTCAGACCAAAAGACACACAGATTGATATTGAAAGGATAAAAAAAGATATTTCATACAAGTAGAAATGGAAAAGAAAAAGCTTTAGTAGCAGTAGTTATATCAGACAAAATAAGACTTTAAAACAGAATTGTAAAAAAAGACAAAGAGGATATTATATAATGACTAGGGGTTCAACTGAGCAAGAAGATAAAACAACTGTAATTATTTGTGTACCCAATAGAGGAGTACCTAAACATATAAAGCAAATATTAAGAAACAGTAGGGGAATTAACCCCACTTACATCATTGGATAGATCATCCAGACAGAAAATCAATAAGGAAACAGTGGCTCTGAATAACATGTTAGACCAAATGGACCTAATAGATAAATACAAAATATTACATTCAAAAACAGCATAATAATTATCCTTTACAAGCGCACACAGAACATTTTCCAGGATAAATAAAAAAAAATATTAACAAATTTAAGACTGAAATCATACCAATCAACCACAACAGTATGAAACTGGAAATCAATTACAAGAAAAAAACTGGACAAAATACAAACACATGAAGGCTAAACAACATGCTACTAAACAACCAATAAGTCAATGAAGAAATCAAAGAGGAAATAAAAAAATTCTTGGAGAATTATGAAAATAAAAACACAATCCAAAAATCTTTGAGATGCAGCAAAAGCAGTTTTAAGGGAAAGTTTATATCCTTACAGGCCTACTTCAAGAAACAAGGAAAATCTCAAACAATCCAACCATGAACCTAAAGGAACAAGAAAAAGAAGAACAAAGCCCAAAGTCAGTAGAAGGAGAGACTTAATAAAGACTGACACCACATTTACATTCAGTTAGGAAAGCTAAATTCAAAAATACATTAAAAGGATCATTTTAATACAACCAAGAGCAATTTATTCTAGGGAAGCAAGGATGGTCCAATATCTGAAAATCAATCAATGTGATACACCACATTAACAAAAAGGATAAAAACCAAATGATCATCTCAACAGATGCAGAAAAAACATCTGACAAAATTGAACACCCACTCATGATAGGAACTCTCAACAAAGTGGGTATAAAGGGGATATATCTCAACATAATAAAAGCTATATATGACAAACAGACAGCTACCACAATATGGTAAAGGTGAAAGCTTTTCTTCTAAGATCAGGAACAAAACCAGGATGTCCACTTTCACCAATTTTATGCAATAAAACACTAGAATTCACAGCCACAGCAATCAGACAAGAAAAACAAAAAAAAAAGGAATCCAAATTGGAAAGGAAGAAATAAAACTGGCACTATTTGTGCATAATATGATACTATATATATAGAAAATCCTAAGGACTCCAGCAAGGACTATTAGAATTAATAAGTTCAGTAGTCTCATGATACAAAATAAATATACAGAACTCCACTGCATTTCTATATACAAGAATGAACAAAGAAAAAGTGAAATTTTAAAAATCTATCCCATTTACAATTGCATCAAAACAGCTAAAATATTTAGGAATAAATTCAACCTTAAGACCTATATACTGAAAACTAGAAGACACTGATTAAAGTAATTGAAGATAAATGGAAAGATATTCCATGATCATTGACAGGAAGAATTAATGTTGCTGAAATAGTTATACTGCCTAAAGCTATCTACAGATTCAATGCAATCCCCATCAAAATATCAATGGCATTTTTCACTGAACTAGAGCAAATAAAACAAAAATTTGTACAGAACCACAATAAACCTCAAATAGCCAAAGCAATTCTGAGAAAGAAAAAGAAAGCTGGGTATTATGTTGCCTGGTTTCAGACTATACTATAAAGCTATAGTAATCAAAATGGTATGGTACTGGCCTAAGAACAGATACCTAGATCAATGGAACAGAATAGAAAGCCTCAAAATAAAACCATGCCTATATGGTCAATTAACAGATGACAAAGGAGACAAGAATATGCAACGGGGAAAAGACAGTATTTTCAATATAAAGTGTTAGGAAAACTCAACAGCTAGATGCAAAAGAATGAAACTAGATCACTGTCTTACACCATACACAAAAATCAACTCAAAATGTATTAAAGACTGAAATGTAAGACCTGAAACAAGAAAACTACCAGAAGAAAAATAGGCAGTAAATTACTGAACATAGGCACTAGTAATTTTTTCTGGATATATATCTCCCCACACAAAGGAAATAAAAGCAAAAATAAACAAGTGAGACTACATGAAACTGAAAAGTTTCTGCATTAGCAGTAGAAATGATCAACAAAATAAAAAGAAATTTTGACTGTATGGGAGAATATATTTGCAAATGGTTTATCCAATAAGGGGGCAATACCCAAAATACATAAGGAATTCATAGAACTCATCACCAGAGAAACAAATAGTCCAATTATAAAATGGGCAGAGGACCTGAATAGACATTTTTCCAAAGAACACATACAGATGGCCAACAGACACATGAAAAGATGCTCAACATCACTGATCATCAGGAAAAGGTAAATCAAAACCACAATGAGATACCATCTCACACCAGTTAGAGTGGCTAATATCAATAATACAAGAAGTAGCAAGTGTTGGTGAGGATGCAGAGAAAAGAGAACCCTGATACACTTATGGTAGGATTGTAAACTGGGACAGCCACTATGGAAAAAATTATGGAGGTTTCTCAAAATTCTAAAAATAGAAATACTGTATGACCAGGTAATTCCATTCTGGGAATTTACATGAAGAAAACAAAATCACTAATTCAAAAAGATATATGCACTTCTATGTTTATTGCAGCATTATACACAATAGCCAAAATACAGAAGCAACCTAAATGTCCTCAATAGATGAGTGGATAAAGAAGATGTGGTACATGCATACAATGGACTACTACTCAGCCATAAAAAAAACAAAAATTTGCCATTTGTAACAAAATGGATAGATCTAGCGAGTATTATGGAAAGTGAAGTAACTCAGAGAAAAATAAATATCAAAAAAAACCCCCAAATGAACAAACAACAGAATCCAAGAGCAGACTGGTAGTTGCCATACAGAGGTACAGGGATAGGAGAAAAAAATTAGTGAGAATGTTTTGATGTCTTTATCTGAATGATGATTACATGAGTGTATATATACATCAAAATTCACTGAGCTGTATATTAAGCAAGATTTGTGCATTTTATTGTATTTACTTAAATATAAATAATAATAATAAAACAGAAGAAAGGAGAGATTGAGTAAAGAAGTCTGAATTATAACTAAATTGTATGGAGTGGCAAAAATATGCCCATGGTATTGGAGATGCAGGTCAGATTACATAGCAATAGAACTTTATCCATTTTACAATGTTAATATAGAATATTTCTTATAACATGTAATCTTTGAGGTTAATAGCAATTTATATAACAAAAATATTATCAATTTAAAAATACTCTATTTCATACAAGTAAAACCATTTTGAACAATACATACCTGTTTTTCAAGTTTAGTTTGAGTGTCTTCTAGCTCTCCATTTCTAATTGTCTCTTGTTGTAACATTTGCTGCTGTTGCTGAAGAGTATGCTGTAGAATAATATTTTGCTCGGTAGTCTCTTGAAGACTGTGACTTTTCATTTTCAGCTCTTTCTGTAAACAGTATACCTAACAAATATATACATTCCTCATTATAACAACATATTTCAAATAAAAGCAATAAAATATTAACGTGTCTTCCTTATTAGATAATTATCTTGACTTCTCATGTGGAACAATTGCATTTATGATATAGTTCGTTATATGGAAGAATGGGGTTCATTTTTCTGATGGACAGATGTGTTAAAGGGCCTGCTAATAAGGCTGGCTCTTGGCTGGCATCTAGGAATGTAATTTTTGAAACATTTCCCAAATGATAAGACTGTTTTGCTTAGCTAAGTCAATGAATCATGCTTTTATTTTGGGAGTCTGGAATTTTGATACTTGCAGCTGTTCCTGGGTTACCAGTCCATTAAAAACCCTGAATTTTGAATCATAAGCAGGCTTCCCTGGACAGAAACACTACACATGTTGACACATTTCACTGCTACAGAAAGTAACATGTTCTATATAACACCTCCCAGAGAAGGAAAGAATTTAGGAAGTCATGGATTTCTATACACTTCATCTGATGTATCTTTTCTCCTTATTCAAAATATAGCCAGAAAAGCAGTGCAGAAATGTTAGGTGCTATTTGTTATATTATGTTGTTATTACTGCTGTTGTGTACAAAATGATATCCCAGTAAAGCACTCTTGAATATTTGTGCTCCAAAAAACACAAAAAGGAATGACAATCTCAACTGAGAAATTATACTCATTCACTCCAAACACTTAGGACTTAAATATACTGGTCCCCAAAAGTGTTTTAAAAGATACCTTTAAAGTTATCTGGGAGTACCTATTAAGTAGGAAAAAAAATCCTTTGACCTAGTAATCCAAATTCTAAATATCTGCTAAAAGAAATTATTTTTAAAGCCATATAAACTACTACAGTGTAACTTATTTTATAATATTCTTCACCTTCTCTTGAATGGGGAAGATTAAATGATGATATATCAATCTGATTATAAATAAATGACACAACCATTTAAATTCATAATACAAATGGCAAATATAAAATTTTACATAACAAAATGAAATGAAAAAAACAGAATTACAGTTCAATAGTTATGAGAAATGGGCAGGAAATAGAAAAGTGAAAACTTTATTAGTGAGTGGACTGTAAGTAAATCTTCTTTATAAGAGTATTGCTTATGTAATAACTATTATTAAAATGAAGGAAAATAAAGCCATTTCTTTAAAACAAAGAATCTTTCCATTAAATATCACTCCAGAAAAAACAATTTTAGACTCCTAAGAGATAATGGAAGAGAACCTGACTTGGCTGCTTTTTCTAATTATATAACTGGTGAATATTCAGCGGCATCACAAAGGGCTTAAGAGCCAAATATTCTTTGTTCATGATGAGAAGCTCCTAAATTTCAAACTTCATTAGATAATGACACTGGAAACGTGGAAAAACCTTAGATATTACAAGCAGCTAGCCAATTTCTAATCCTATTATTATTGTCTTATTTTTTAACTACCATACTTAATTTTGTCTGTATGAAAACAATTTACTTAGTACAAATATTTATCAGTATCACGCGTTTTCTTTGTTTTCTCTATTTCCTGGGAAAACTGTAGATCATACTCCTGTAGTAATTTATATTATATAGAACTGACTGGTCTAGAAGATAAGCTTAAATATTATTTTTTCTTTACTGGTACAGCTGGGCTTTCCTAGTCAAAGTAAAAAAATACACAAAATACTAAAATAAGACAAAAGAGAAGAAAAAGGTAAGACCCTACCAAAACACTAAGAAAGCCATACAAAATAACAATAAAAATTTTTATTTCATTAATCTGGCCACTGGCAATCATTTCAATTAAAAATACTGAAATAGAAAGGAGGAGCCAAGATGGTGGTATGAGTAGGGCAGCAGAAATCTCCTCCCAAAAACATATATATTTTTGAAAATACAACAAATACAACTATCCCTAAAAGAGAGACCAGAGGATACAATACAACAGCCAGGCTACATCTACATCTGCAAGAACTCAGCACATTATGAAGGGGGTAAGATACAAGCCACAGCCTGGCGGGACCCAAGCACTCCCCCAACCCCAGCTCCCTGGCAGCAGGAAAGGAGTTGGAGCAGGAAGGGAGTGGAAGTGCAGAACTGCTAAGTAACCAGCCCTAGTAATCCACACTAGGAGCACAGACACACATTGCATGGTATGCTGGATATGAGGGAAACAGAAAAGTAAAATCTGTGAGCAGATCCCCACAGCCAACTCCTCTGGAACAAAAGAAAAGCAAGTGTTTTCTAAAAGTCTTAAAGGGACAGGGGCTTCACAGCTGGATGAAATCATCCCAGCACACTCAGCCAGGCAGGCTGGGAATTCTGATGAGCTTCGGATGCCCCAGCCCCCTGAGAGGTAGCACAGCTCTGAAACCCCTCACAGCAATAAACAGCCTGCCATTCATTCCTGGCCCACTGAGGCCCTGCTACAGTGGCTGAATAGCCTGAGAGTGGCGGCGCCAACAGCAGCCACCTAGAGCCTCCACCCAGTATGCAGCCACCCGGGCCAGACCCAGGGCTGCCACTGGCGTGCAGCTACCTGGTGCAGGCAGAGGAAGCCGGAGCAGGGCGCAAAGGGGCACTGTTCTCGCAGGAGAGCACACCCAGTGCACCTGCTTCACCCCGCAGGGCTCTGGGTTGCCCCATGGGTGGCAGCCCAGGGGATAGACCAGGATGCTGCTCCCAGTGAGAGGGTGATGGACACAGGTAGCAGAGAGGGGCAGGGGGACCAGCAAGCAGGAAGGGACTTTGTTCTCCTAGCTGACACATGCTCTACCTGCCTAGAACTACCTCTATTGCCATGAAAAGGCAGAAGAATTTGGTCCAGTCCAGAATTACCCAGACAACCACAAAGAGCACAGACAGATATAACCAATCTTCCTGAAAAAGAATTCAAAATAAAGGTCAAAACCATGCTGATGGACCTGCAGAGAAATATGCAAGAGCTAAAGGATCAAGCTGGGAGGGAGAATACAGAAATAAAGCAGTATCTGAAAGGAAGTAAGAGCAGACTAGATGAGTTGCAAGAGGCAGTTAATGGAATAGAAATGAGAGAACAAGAACACAGAGAAGATGAGGCAGAAAGAGATAAAAGAATCTCCAGGAATGAAAGAATATTAAGAGAATTCTGTGACCAATCTAAACAGAACAATATTCGCACTATAGAAATACCAGAAGAAGAAGACAGAGAAAAAGGGATAGAAAGTGTCTTTGGAACTGGATTAGAGATGGCGGCGTGAGAGGAGACACAGAGGCTTCCTCCTAAAACTAGATACAATTAGAAAATATAGTTGGCACAACTAATCCTGAGAGAGCAACAGGAAAGAGGACAGCGTCAGACTGCACACACCTGGAGAAAAGAGCAGACCTCACCAAACAGGGTAACGTACTAGAGCTGTGGCTCCATGGGACCGGAGCCCTTCCCCCACTCCAGCTCAACAGTGGGAGGAAGAGAAATGGAGCAGGGAGGGAGAGAAAGGCTTGAGAGTGCTGAATACCTAGCTCCAAAGATCTGCTCTGGGAGCACAAACCTACATTTCATGGTGCTTTCATGAGACTCGCATGACTACCAGGTTGGAAAGTTAATACAGGCAGAGTTCCTGGGGAGACTGGGATTCCAGCCACTTGTGGAAAGCAGGGATCCATATCCAGCTGCTCTGGGACAAAAACTTATACCTGTGGGACCGGCCAACCGGCTCAGGCAGTGGAGACAGGCACAGCAGCCGAGAGGTGGGCAACAGCTCTTTCCTCCCCCAAGGCACCAGTACCGCTCCCCTGCAACCCCCAACATTGCTTCAGGAGCTGAGCAGCTCCAGAAGAGAGCTTCTACAGGGCGCCATATACAAACATGAAACGCCAAAGGAACCTTGTCCAGACGGAAATTATTAATACAACTCTAGAGAAAGATTTAAATGATATGGACCTTATGACTCTTCCTGAAAGGGAGTTCAAACTAAAAATCATCAACATTCTAATGGAGGTACAGAAAGACATCCAAGAACTCAGGAATGAATTCAGGTCAGAGATCCAATCATTGAAGAGCACGATGGAGGGTATTAAAAGCAGGTTGGATAAGGTGGAGGAGACAATAAATGAAATAGAAACTAGAGAAAAGGAATACAAAGAAGCTGGGGCACAGAGAGAAAAAAAGGATCTCTAAAAATGAAAGAATATTCAGAGAACTGTGTGACCAATGCAAGCGGGACAATATTCACATTATAGGGATTCCAGAAGAAGAAGAGAGAGAGAAAGGGATAGAAAGTGTCTTTGAGGAGGTAGTTGATGAAAACTTCCACAATCTGGGGAAGGAGACAGTCTCTCAGGACATGGAGATCCACAGATCTCCCAACACAAGAGACCCAAGGAAGACAACACCAAGACACATAGTAATTAAAATGGGAAAGATCAAGGATAAGGACAGACTGTTAAAAGCAGCCAGAGAGAGAATTAAGATCACATACAAAGGAAAGAGCATCACGCTAACATCAGACGTCTCAGCAGAAACCTTACAGGCCAGAAGAGAGTGGCATGATGTATGTAATGCCATGAAGCAGAAGGGCCTGGAACCAAGATTACTTTATCCAGCAAGATTATCATTTAAATTTGAAGGAGGGATTACACAATTTCCAGACAAGCAAAAGCTGAGAGAATTTACCTCCCACAAAACATCTCTACAGTCTATTTTGGAGGGACTGCTATAGATGGAAGTGTTCCTAAGGTTGAATAGCTGTCACCAGAGGTAATAAAACCACAGTAAAGAAAGTATAACAGCTAATTACGAAGCAAATGCAAAATTAAATTAACTACCCCCAAAGTCAATCAAGGGAGAGACAAAAAGTACAGAATTTGATACCTAATATATAAAGAATGAAGGAGGAAGAAAAAAGAGGAGAAAAAGAAAAGAACCTTTCAATTGTGTTTTTAACAGCATACTAAGAGAGTTAAGTTAGACTCTTAGATAGTAAGGAAATTAACCTGGAACCATTGGTAACCATGAATCTAA